TTTGCTTGCTTGTTTGTTTTTTCCCCACACTGTTCTTCTGGCTCCTGTCTCAGGTTCAGGAAATTCAACATAATTCTGTGGAAACCGTCATTGGCACTCAGGCGTGAGACATTTTCTTTTTAGGAAAACAATTGTAATGATTTTGCATATCGTCAGATAATACTCATGCAGAAATGGGCTTTAAGGAGTGATTTGAAGAAGAGAAAGGAGGCATTTGGCATTGCTAAGTAGTTGCATGTTCCAAGTGAAGAGGGTTGCATGAAGAAGACAGTTGAATGAGGAGACCGAGAAAGCTATTAGGAGAGAGTAAGAGAAACAAAAAGAGGAGTAGAAAGAACGAGAGCAGGGATGTGTGAATAAAAACATTTTTCAGTCAGTTGATTAATTCACAACATTCAAATTCTATTTACTAGAAAATATAAGGGTATTTTTGTTAAAAGCTCTATGTGTACTATAGTAATGATATGAGATATTCACTCAAGCAGAAAATTATGTGTAGTATGCAAACAAGTCATAGACAGATTAAGTCACCATGTGTGTTCAGTCACTGTCAGCCAGTGGAATTCAACTGCCAATTTATTTTTGCCTTTTTCCAGCAGTCTCAGCTGGCTACACAGCTGGTCAGCACTATTCATTTCAAGTCTCTGTACACCTTTATGGGAACAGTTCAAACAATCCAAATCCAGTTTGTAAATTAAATAGTCATCCTCTGGTAATAATCTGCCTTGCCTCTAGTTCCCTACCTCAGAGAACAGTCCCATTTCAAGTCATCTTAAGAGAAGGGTTTATTGTTTAAGGTCCAAATGTGGGCTAGTTATTGGAAAGACAACATAAATTCAGGAGCAGACCAGGGATCCAGCAAAAGAAACTGCACCCAAAAAAATTTAATTCTCCTATTACAAAAGAAATAGGGAAATCACACAGAGAACATTTGAAAAATATACAGATTGTGACAAGGGACAATTTTTCAGCAGCAAGTCAGTCCATTAATTCTGTGTGATTAAAAAGCAATAGGGAAGACCCTCTAATTATTATGAGAAATATGTTTTTGTTTTTAAAATAATAAAACCTCTCTCACTAATAGTTGCATTACTATGAGTCATAATGTTATTTGCCAGTCACAGTCAGTTCTCTTCCAAAATATAACTGTCAAACCCTGATGGAGGTCTTAGCAGCTACAAAATTAAAGTAGAACACCCTAAGAGAAAATTCAGTCCTTAAACAAAACTGTTGACTCTTTTTTTCAAGACAAATAGACCCCCACTAATAATGATTATATGGATTAAGGCTGACTTCAACTAACAATTTGTAAAGACCCCAAGTGTTAAACTGTAGCCAGATTTCTTTCTCACGGATATGCCCAATTACTTTAAACTGGTCCCCAAACTGAATTTTCTCTATCCATTTGGAGCTTATTTTACAGTCTGCCTGCAGCACTCAGATAGACTTGAATTGTGGAAAATATCTACAGATTTTGAAAGGATCAAATCCTTTAGACTGCAGTCTACCAACCATTTCTTATTTTCCCCCAGGAAGAGGGGAAAAAAAAAACCACCTGTCACAACTCATCAAAACACCCTGTGTTAAAAAACAAAATTTTCTAGACGCTTCATCCAATTTGGGGTGAGGCTGGTTTGGGGTTTTTGTTTGTCCTGCAAATCTGAGTCCTACAAGAAATAATTAATACAATGGCTGTTTCTACCATGTTGCTTCTGCTAGGTTTCAAGCCTTTAATAATTTTATTAAGATAATGTTGAAGTAAAAAGAAAGTGGTACAGAGTTTAGGCATAGAAGTTTCTGGTTACCAGGGAATAAGGTACAGATTATCAAGGGGTGCAAAATTCGGTTTAGGAGCGGGTGGCGTAAGGAATACATAATTTGCAATCTCCCCGTTTGGGAGTAAAAGTTTAATGGGTCAAAGTACAGACATTGAGCTATGGGGGTATGTTGTCCATATAATGGCTATGTTCAGGTGTGGAGTACAGTGAGCGGGTACGATGATGAGGATGGATCTACCCTCATTTGGTGGGATTTATGGTTCAGTGAGTTTATGGTTCCAGTTCATATGGTCCAATGGAAAAAGTCTTTCAGTCCCTTTCCCACAGTTGATGCACGATGTCGTACCGGCTCACACCTCCTGGTACTGTCGGTGGCCGGTGATGTGTTCGATGTAGATGTCCCTGGACCATTGGATGGTGTCCGAGACTATGAGGCACCGCATGAGCCGTGCGTAGCGTCGACTGATCCCACAGGTCCGCAGCACACGCTCGTTGCAGGGGTCCCAAGCGCCCAGGGCTCCGACGATCAGGGCATCCATCTGCACCTCATAGCACTTTGCTCTCAGCGTGTCGGCCGGGGGGGTGTATTTTTCCAGCTTACGAGCTCGGGCTTCGCAGAAGGCCGGGGTCCTGTTCTCGAAGGAGACCGTGATGTCGACGAGGCTGATCTTTTTCTGGGCTTCGTCGGTGACTACCACATCAGGTCGCAACTGGCTGTCAGTCCCGGGGATGGCACTGTTCATGGCTACCTCCCCCAGACGCGGTGTGACGGCTTTCGCTAGGCGGTTCTGGATGTCGTTGTGGCGCAGCTGCCAGGCTCTGGAGAGGGGCTTGCAGCTGCACAGGACGTGGGGCAGGGTCTCATTGGAGTAGCCGCACTTCCTGCAACGCTTGTCTTGGTTCCTGTGGTGGACGGCTCCGTTGAGCGGGATGCAGTTGAGCCAGGCGCGGTGGATGAACCGCCAGTCGGCAAAACGGGTGAAGCCGCCCCAGGCGAGGAAGTGGTTGCTGGCGTCCCACTTGCTGGTCAGTTCAAAGGCTTTACCCTGGTCAGGTTTACGCTTCAGGGTTTCCATGTACAGCGAGTGGATGGCTGCCTTCAGGGTCCTCTCCAGCATGCCCCTGGCGCTCGGGGTGACGATGATGTTGTCGTCGGACCTGATCTGTGGTACCATGACTCCCAGCTCCTGGTGCTCCTCACACCACTCCCAGCGGCAGCCGATGCACTTCCCCAGGCGACGCATGGCATTGCGAGCATGGGACCACAGTGAAGCGATGTCTCCACCATCCCGTCCGAATTCGCCATCCAGGGAACCGCTGAGGAAGCTAGCGGTGTCTTGGTTGGAGGGGACTCTGCCGATCCTCTTCTTTGTTGTGTCATGGAGGGTGTTTGCTGCGATGTTCCTTACCATGGCGTCGGGACACGTCAGCAGGCAGAAGGCATGGGTGATCACCGCGATGTCACACAGGTCACCCATGCAGGGGACATTGGCACTGCCATGCCTGTGGGCGATATAGACGAGCTCGTTGCTGGCTCTCTGGGGGAGGAACATCCACTTCTTCACCAGCTGCCGGACGAAGTTGTCTGCCTTGTTGAGGGGTACCTTCGCCATGGCGGATCCCCTTAGGATGGACGAGATGTGGGGGGATCAGGAAGGTGTTCAGGGTGTTTATCTTCTGCCACGGTGCTAGCAGGGAGGTGTCAATTTTGGTGGCATCCTGCAAGATCTCCTGGATGGTGTCCTCGGGTGTCTAATGGACATGGAAACCCGTCAGTGTGCCAAGGTGCCGGTATGCCTGCCCCTCTGCCAGGGGGATGACGGGCTCGCCCTGGATCTGGAACCCTCTCGTCTGCACCGAGTCCCTTTTGCTGCTGTCGATGTGGAGAGATGCGCACTTCTTTGCATTGAACCAGAGCCCCATCCAATCGGCAGCTTGACTGGTGGCATCTAGCATACGTTGGAGGTTCTCTGGGTCATCCGCGGTCAGGACCAGGTCATCCACATAAGCCAGGATGCTCACCCTCTCACCGTGGAGGTTGAAGCCATCTGCATCATTGGAGATCGCTCGCAGCAACGGCTCAATGGCAAGGTTAAAGATGATGGGGATGAGGGGACAGCCCTGCTTAACTCCGCTCCGGATCGGGATCTCGGCGGTCTCCCCTTCAACCGAGCGAATGGTGGTGCTGCATCCCTTGTACACCTCTCAGATCACACGGAGGAAGTTCTCGGGCATCCCAAACTCCTGGAGCGTGGCAAAGACATGGTGGTGGGGCATGGACCCAAAGGCATTAGCCAGGTCGAGCCAGGCTACTGTGCACTGCCTACGTGCCCTTCTGGCCATTTCGATGGTGGTTTGGAGGACAAAGTTGTGTTCATAGCAGCCCTCGCAGGACATGAAGCCTTTCTGAGTGGAGCTGATGGCTCCCCCGCTCACCGACCACTCCGTGATCCTCGACGCCAGGCAGCTGGCATAGAGCTTGTACATCGTGGAGCAGAGGGAGATGGGCCTCCAGTTGCTGGGGTCATCTCGCTCACCCTTCTTGTACACCAGTACCATCATGGCCTTCTTTCTATGACTCTTGTTTTGTCCAGATGGCATATACTTAATATTGCTCCAGCAGTAGATTTCTATGAAAGAGTTCAGTAGTAATGAAATATATTATATTCACTGTTTGTCCAACATTACATGCCGATAGCAAATAAATTATTAAAACAGAATGTATTCACATTGATTGCTGTGAAGGTTATACATGCATCAGTGAATCAAAACAAGCGCTCAAAAGATAGAAAATCAATTTATGTGACAGATAGGAAAAGCATGGATGTTGAAATCTCTTTCATACATTTGGCTGTTTTTGAAAAAATAATTTCATATAACAGAAGTATTTTTAAAAAATGTTGCTTTGACTGAACATAACTAATGTGCAAAAATTGGAGGCCTGAACAGAGTGATAATACACCTTGATAATAATAAAGCTTATAGTAGCTTTATAGTAGCTTGTGATAGAATATAGAATAACAATTTGATTTTATTTTTGTGCCGAAAATGCAAAGCTTTTCACAATGTACTTAGTTTCATAAATAAATTCCCAACAGCAGCATTTATTGCAAATGGTGTTGATTTTTAACTCCACTTTCGAGTTGTGGTCTAGGAATAATCAAAACAAAGGTTTACCCTCTAGTAAAATTTTGTTCTAAACTTTTTTTTTTTTTTTTACAGAATTATTACCCAAATGCCAACAGATGAATTGCCGATACAAATGTAGTATTTCAAGGAATGGCACCGGCTGTTACTGTGAGGATGGATATGAAGTAGGCAATGATGGAAGAAACTGCAAAGGTAACGGAAATGTGTTTTTACCTTCTCTAAGAATAAGGCCCCAGTCTTGCAAGAAGCTACATGAAGGAGAACAATGGCATTTTTGCAGAGCTTCTTGCAGGATCTGAACCTAAATTTGGTTTTAGAATGGTTTAAACAGATGGTTAAACTATATTTACACAAAACATGGCAGGTAAGGTAATCAGGTACAGTGCTGCAATGCAAGAGATCCTACAGAGTTCCCACATTTGCTGCTGCTGTTTCGCTGGAATCACATTTATATTTGACATGCCAGCTGTATCTTCTCAATGGAAGTAGCATCTTTTTAGAAATGTACAATAAGTTGTGAAGCACAGCAAAATTTACAGCAAGACCTGAAGGTCTCTCTCTGGTGTTTACATCAGAGACAAATGTGTCTCTATGGTTGGAAGCTGTGACTCCATCAGGGCCAACTACTGTATATATGTCTTGAAGATGACATCAGGGATAGGACTACTTCACTGCCCCCCGCCTTCCCTACATGTCTCACACTGATGACTCATAGTCAGCCAATGAAACAGAATGAGCTTTGTTCATCAGGGACTGAAGATGGGCCAGCATTTCAAAGGACCACTTGTGTAATCTCATAGCAATCTAAAGTGGGTCATGGCCCCGCCAGCACTCCCATCTCGAAGGATGACAGACAGGACATGCTTGCTGATCCTTTCTACCCTCCTGTGCCTACAGTGTGAGGAGAAAGAGTATTAAGATCTGTTTAGGGCTACTCAGACAGGCCTGGAGCTCATCTGCATGAGCTTCCCCCTTTCTAAGCATCTCTGAGCCTCCCTCTCTTGAACATTCTCTGAAACCTTGTGAGCCATTTGGGGATATGATACCCCTTACAGCCATGTAAACCTGGGTCAGAGTTTGATCCATGAAAAAAAAAAAAACAACCCTTAATCATATAGCTTAGTTTTGCACTTGCCTTTTAATAGGTTTTCTGCCAGTGAAATTTAGATTGAAATTGATATTCCTTTTCTATTCCAGCAATATATGAATTTTGATACCCCAACACTTTTTTTCTCTTCAAAAGTAGATAGGGCTTTCCCATCACTTTATAAATGTATTTGCAGGCTATCATTCATCCTCCCCCCTTTAACAGAATTATTCTGCATAAATGTAATATCTTATATGTGCGTCTTCTTCTGATCTCTGGGTTTATGTTTTGTACTATTTGAAAAAAAATTGTTGGAACTTTTTTTCTTTCTAATGATTTTTGGCTAGATTCTCAGCTACTGTAAATTTGCATATCTTGGTTATCTCTTATAGAACTGTGCCAGTTTACATTAGCTGAGAATTTGACCCTCTATTTTTATTTTTTGTCTTGAACATTTAAATGGTTTGAAGTTTTTTATATCGTTGTTGACAGTTATAGGTAGAAGTTGATGATTCCACTAAAGAGCTTAAACCATTTAAAATAGTTTCCTAACGTGAGTGAGTTGACATGCATATTCAGTTATTTCTACTTTTGAAGTGCTGCTTCAGTCATAGTCAGTGGTGATTTTAAATGCTTACATACAGTACAGGTGGAAGTGGTCTCTGGTGGCAGCAATAACCCAAGTGGTCCCTAATTGTTATGTTTCTCACTGATCATTTGAAGGCCTTTAATTTTCAAGCAGCTAGCCTTGCAATGTTAAATATTGGTCTTCTGTTTGGTCACTGGCATAGTTTCATCAGCAGACAGCTCAGATAAGATTGTGGCTGAAAACAATGAGAAAAAATAAAAATCTATCTATAGAGGGTTTACCCTTACTTTTGTAATGTTGTTTAGGGGGTAAATTTTGCAACCTCCCCCAAGATTTTACTCTTAAGTGAGGACTCTTACTTACATATTATTTCAATGTATCCTTTAGATTTAGATGAATGTAATGTGTATGGGACCTGTAGCCAAACCTGTATAAATACAGATGGATCATATGCATGTAGCTGTGTGGAGGGTTATATACTTCAACCTGACAACAAATCTTGCAAGGCCAAAAATGGTAAGTTGGATTTTTGTATACATTATAAGAATGATTTTTTAAAGTCCTCTGGGTCTGCCTTTCTCCCTGGTACATAGGGTAGATGTTTATCTACATAGCAGAGATGGATTTTCCTTTAATTTAATACAGTGATTCATTGTTAGAAATCTAGAAAAACTTTTTCAGTTGTCATGGATTATTACAAAACACCTTTGAAGGAGGATTCTGATTAGCTAGAAACCTTTCTGAAGGGGTAAATAAAGTTATGGAAGCTACTTTATTCAGCCAAGATTAGTGGAGCTGCCAATTCCCTCTTTCATCTCAATACATACAATTTCCACATAAATGCCACCTCCCTGAGACAACCTGGGTGTCAGGAAATTATCATGAGGTAATTATACCCTTGGGATATTAGAGACATGGGCCTCTGCCTTGCTCCGTGTAACATCCCAGGGAGTTGATTTGAAGATATGCATATTCACATTATGTCTTATTGGTTAATTAATGCATATTTTCATTGCCAATAATAAATTAAGCATTTAAGGGAATTAGTGAATTCTGTTTAATGAAGACAAATTGAACAAAGTATTTCCCTAGTCAGTGTATTGACTCAGCAATTCTTATTTTCTTATTTTCTCCTACAATCTGTTCAACATACATAATGACCAAAGCCTACTATAAAGGTATATTTTTATGTCGATATATGGAAACCCAGAGGAAACAAATGTGTATTTTTCTATGTCAGTTGGCAGACTTGTGGCAGATACTGTGTTTTTGAAGCTAAAACTAGAAAAGACTATGGCAAAGAAACTGCATACTTGTGTTCTTATTTGAGCACCACTGAGAGTTGCGATTTAAAATATTGATGAGCTCAAAAAGTAAGACTTGAAACTTAAGATTTGTATTGATCCACATAGCATGGTTATAGATTTTTTTTAAAATGGTAATCTGATACAAGCAACTCCATAGAGAGAAAAACTATTTTAATATTCTTCTCAACCCTCTCCATAAAAAAAGTTCTTTCAGTGGGACATAACAGGAGTTGCATCTGATACAGTAAAAAACAGTTCAGGACTGGGGAAGGTAGATGGCTTCAGAACTGATAATGAGATGAGTCTTTGACCTATAGTATAAATACAGCCCAGTATGTAATGATTGACTATGGTAACCATCTGTCAGTATTTCAGTAGCTCATGTGAAATAAGCTGGTGCTCTCAGCCATTTCCTCATGGAGAAATGCTTCTCTCTCTCTCTCTCTCTCTCTCATATAAGTCATAGTTTACAGCAATTTTTACCGTTACTGGCAGACTCAGCTGGGAACCAGTTTTCAATGAACACAGAGACCTGTATAAGACAGTTCAAGTCAAGGCTGAGATAGTGTGAGAAAATGCATACTGCTGCTGACCTTGTTGCACTGTCCTTTGAATAAGCAGAACAGGAGTTCCCAACACTGTTTCGCTGTGTGGGCTACATCTTAATAGAGAGAAATTGTCTCACATGCTTTCTTGTTTGCAATTGCATGAACCACCTGCTCTCAGAGTGACTATATAACATCTCTCTGGCAATTGCAGCAATTGATTACATTGAAAAGTAGTATTAGGAAGGTATTCAATGTATTTTTAGCTTCCTTTATACCGTTTAGCAGGTGGAAAAATGAGAGTTGCAGGCATTATTCATTATTATTCATATTTATTACAGTAGCGCATAAAGGCCAACCAAGAATGGGGCCCCATTTTGCTGGACAAATAGAAAATAGTAGATGGTTTCTGCCCTGAAGAACTTACAACTAAATAGACCAGACTGACACCATGAGGGAAGGGGTATAACACATAAGTAGAATGAACACTGTGGTGGCAGCAAACAGCGTGTTAGCTCCACAATTTTTTGTGGTGGAGGTTATTTAGGAGGGAATAAGCTGAAAGGAGGAGGGATAAGGAGACAGGTTCTGGGTGAAGCAAAGATGGAGAGGACGGGTGATGGAGAGGGAGGGTTGGAGGAAACAGTTAATCAGCATAGGATGGAGAGAGTCCTGTCAAAAATGTAAAAAATTCTGTTGACGTCCAGAGGTCCCAGCTTTGGTTGCTTCTGCTCCTATGGCCTGGAGTCTCTGGCTCCTGTCTGTAGTTTTCCTCTAAGGCCACAAGGGGATGGGGGGATGAGGGGAAAGGGAGGCACTACCTGTGTCTTAGTGCCTCAAAAGTGGAGGGAGCTATGTGCCCTGTTAGCTATCTATGGGCTGCTAAGTACTTTAGGGACCACAGCTGAATTCAGTCTCCAGTGCCCAAATCTGTCACCTTTCACAAATCTTGACTTTAAACCAGACTGCAAAACAGGAATACAATAAAAACAGTGGGCTGGATTCAGATTCACTTATCTCTGTTTTATAACTCCATTTCATTAATGTAGTAACTCCTGATTTTCTGTACATGAGTGCAGAATTTGACCCATAATCTTTGTGGCAGGAATTTATTAAGGGACAAATCTGCCACTGCCTCTGCAGTCATGCCGTTCTGCTGCCCGAAGGGTTGGGGGAGAAGTAAAATTCCCAGGAACTGCTTTGATATCTGCACCCACTGTGAAGCCTCAGGCTCAGTTTTGCAAAGATTAGTTCCCAAAGCTGCAAGCTCCACCCGCACCTTGCAGCTTTGGGAACTAATGACAGTGGGAATGTCATTAAAGTGAAACCAAAGGAGCCACTGCTTCATGGATCCACCCATTCCTCCCATCAGGAAAGGGTACAGAGGGGCCAAACTGCAGTAGTGGTGGCAGAGTGTCCAGAAATAGAGCATTCCATCACTACCACCATAATACTGATGGTACTTGGGCTGTGTGTTGCTATGCAATATTTAAGCCTAAATGTTCAGCATCTTGATTAACTATTATACTGTTACTTCACAGGACATAAATAAGATGCTAAGTTGCTCAGTTCATTTGGATATGTCTGGAGCAGATCACTTTTGTGTAAATAGCACCTATTGGTGGGGATGTTCAAATAGCTGTCGTCACAGCTATGGGCACACTATATTTTTCTAGTCCTTTTACCTGCAGCTTCCTTTTATGAATAAAGATCTAGTTAATGACTTATTCAGATATGAAAAATGAGATCAGATGTCATTTTTTTTAACAGAGTTCTAGGTCTTTTTGTTTGCCAGGTTTTCAGGCTATGTTGAAAAGTCTGAATTTGATTAAGTTTGAAAGTTTTAGCTCTGGAAACGGGTGATTTTTCTTGCAGAAGCTCATACAAAATGTTATATCTCAGTTATACTTGATATAGAAAGAAATGGCTTGCAATGAGAGGAAGATATTTCTTCTTTGATCAAAAGCAGCCTGCCCTGCTCAGTCTTTACGACAAGCATGCGTTTCTGTTATTTTAGAAAAAAGTTAAGCACTCCTAAATGGACTTCAAAGCGCAATGCTCTCATGAAAGTTCAGAGAATTAAAATTCCCAGGGTTTAGCATATACATCACTCCTTTTTAGGCTTATTATGAGAAGATGATTTAAATATGTATATATATAATATTCAGTCCTCTTTCATTCCATGCTACTTGTAATATCTTTCTGACCCCCACGCCAACAATTATAACAACATTTGTTGATGAGGACAAAGTGCTTATACTTTACCACTGTTGAAGTACCTCTTAATAAGTGTTCTTCCAGCAAAGCAGTACAAAGTTGCTTATAAACTGTTTTCGCCTCTTCCTCAGTGGAAATCACTGCAAGGCAGCACTTTTCCTCATATTCCCTAAAGATTTTCTTCTGCAATAGAGTTGCAAGTGGTGGTGACAGGACAACCGGGTTGGGGGTGGGGAAGCCATGATGTCTTATGTGTTGTGACACTGCCTATTGGTCTAGAGTTCAAGCAAAGATCAGGCAGGAAAAGAATACAAGTGTTTAATCATCTTCATCAGTGCATCTTAATCACAATCTAGAGGAAGATTAACTTTTATTTGGACAATGGTGATATAAGTATAGACATTTTTGTGGGTTAGAGATGTGCCAGTTTCTTCTCTTTAAAAAAAAAAATCGTAAAGAGTAACAAATGTGACATATTGTACTTTTTGTTATCTGGACAAATGATATCAACTCATGTTAATTGTATCTTCATTTAAGCAACTGATTATTACTATTATTTTACTTTCAGTTCCAGGGAAGTGGAAAGGTATTAAATTTAATATGTTGTAATTGAAAACTACCCAAAATGTTGTTCAACTTTTTTCTATGTTTCTAACTCTGTTAGAACAGTCTTAAGTTAACTGTCTTAAGATGTTATATGAGAACCTTATTAATTTTTTGTGTATACATGACTAATAAAAGATTGAGGTAATTTAAATTAAATGTTTATACATTTTAAAAAAGCACTGATTCCTGAACCTGTTGGTATCTATATATACTTGGAACAAATGGGTTCAAAAACATGATTCAGTGAAATGTTACTGTGTGGAATATAATTTGAAGTTCAACAGCAGCTGTTTTTCCAATCTCTGGACACATGCAATAATATGTATATTCATCCCCAATATTTAATAATATCTGCTAAGTAGAGCACTCTTAACATTGTCATGGAACACTCAAATGACATTATCTGGAGACCAGATATGTCTTGATTCTAATAATTACTCAAGAGTTTATGAACTACTTGACAACAAGTGTAGAATCAACCCATCTTTTCAGATTTCCCTTATATCTTAGAGAATTAATAGAAAAAGGTAATCATTCTATAGGTATTTTGAACCATCCTATTGTTAATGGAGTATTAAATCCCTGCTATATAATTTGCTACAATGGTTCTAAATACCTGTAAAAAGGATATTGTTCTATGTCATAGTCTTCCACATGGAAACCAACATGTTCTCTTTATAACTGCAGGCGGCTCCAAGATCTCTGCTGCCATTCAGATGATTTGCACCTTCAACAGTGTGGAAACTGATCAGTCTTGTTATTTTTCACTATTATTGTTCAGAAACTATGTGCAGGAGTGACACTGACAACAATCAGGTCATTTTTTACTCTGCTGCTGCTT